GAAAGAACTGCCCTATCCCAGATCACACTGCCTTCCCAGGAGTAGATTGCATCCAATGACTAGTTAAGGTGGGAATCTGAAGTCATGGCCCCCTTGCTGCAATGCTGGACAGCTTTCAAGGTTCATTCCAGTTTTAGAGAGCTTGAGGCCTTGGTTGAGAGTGCATGAGAGCCCAACCTATCTTTCTGTTCAATCCTGAGTCCTTACTTTCCATTGGTGCTTATCCTAAGATCACTTCCTAGTAAACTTCTTTGTGTTAACCTCTTTCTTAGAGTCTTTTTTTCTGGTGGGGAACCTAATCTTGAGCAGCAACTTTGTGAGCTTAGTCCCTGCATGAGTGAATGTGATTGAGTCCATTTAGGCTGCTTGCAATAGAGTAAACCCTCTCTGGAGGAGGATCACATCATTCAGACTCTATACTTTTCTTTGTAGCCAATGACGCTCAACAACAACAACAAAAAATTGCCAAATATCTCAAGAAACAAGACTATAAGGAAAAAAAAATGATAGAAACAGACTCACTAATGACTCTGTTGATTTGTGATACAGGTTGTGAAATAATTGTGATTAATATCTTTAAGAAAATAAATTGCAAAACAAAGGTTTTCACTTGAGAATTAGAATGTGCATTAAAAAACAGAAAGTTTAGAACCAAAATATCCAACAGAAGATTGGACAGAGCAGAAGAGAGGATTAGTGACCTGGATAAGAGTTTAGTAGAAAATACCTGGGCTGAAGTATGGAGGGCAAAAAGGATGGAAAATACTAAAAGGGAACATAAGAGACATGCGGACACAGTGAAAAGCTCTGATATATATGCAGTTGGAATCTTCAAAGGGGAAATAAGAAAGAGTGGGTGAGAAGCAACAATTAAGGAGATCTTGGCCGAGAATTTTCAAAAATCAATCGGAGAGATGAATCCACAGATTCAAAAACTGTTATGAACTCCAGCAAAATAAAGATAAAGAAAACTATACGGTGGCATAGCATATTAAAATTGCTGAAAGTGAAAGAAGAAGCCTTGGAAGCATCTAGAATAAATATAAAAGTTTCTTGCATGTATCCCATTATATGGGATCATTTTACATGAATCATTTATATGAAATACTTTAATTAGCAAATATCATAAGGACCAAAATATGCTTTGACTTTTGTTCCTTGCTAAAGATGGAGGAAGTATTGTTACAGATAACCGTTTTGTCAATTTCAATTTTTTGGCTGACTTCTCCAGTTTGATTAGGCCCCAGTTTCTATCTTATAATGTAGCTAACAAAGAATTGGTACTTGGAAGGGAAAAATGTCAATTCTGACACTGTCCTGTATTTCAAGTATTGGTAAAACTTCAATCCACTGTTTTTTGCAGGAATATTTTAAGCTACTTGCTTTGTGAAAGTTGGTTTAGATAAAACTAAATATTAACCTCTATAAATCACCTTAATTAGACATAATAAATGCTTTCATGCTTTAGTACACTGAAAGTGAATGAGGTGGTGGTGGCATTGGCTGTATCCCCCTCTGCTCCGTGGAGTTCTCACCTTGCTCGAGGCACCTCACATTTTCTAAGACCCCTTGCTATTCAAGGGGGTGTGAGCATCAGCAGCAGTGGCATTTCCTAGGACCTTGTGAGAATGTAGAATCCCAGGCCCCATCCCAGTACTACTGAATAATAATTTTGCATTTTAACAAGGACTCCAGGTGATTCATATCTACATTAAAGATTTGTTGTTCTAAGTAACACATGACTATCTGGAATAAGGACTCAGTGAAGATACCAATAAATTTAATACTTGTAAAGCTTAATTTCATATGTTACTAGATAAAATTAAATGTAGGTAGGAATTTTAGGTAGGCATATGGTTACCCAAATAAAACTATATTACTCAGTCTCCTTGCAGGTATATGCAGCCATAAAATTCAGTATAGCTAATGGAATGGAAAATGAAAGATATACACTACTTCTGGGTTGAGCACTTTATAGGAAGAGTCATGCCCTCCCTGTTTGCATTATCTGCTAACTGGAATGCATGCTTGATGGTGGGAGCCAGAGCAGCCATCCTCGGCCACCAGATGGAAACTTTGTGTTAAAGATGACAGAACAACAAGGCAGAAGGAATCTGATTCCCGGATGATTATAGAAGCACCATACTAGCCCTAAAAAGAAAAATAAGATGCTACTTTGACTCATTGTTCATTTGGATTCATGTTTCATCAGCCAGACCTATAGCCTATTTAGTGAAATCATGAAACAGGTAATCCCATTATCATCTTAGGACATCTTGGGATTGTTTATAGGAGACCAGGCTGAGGCTAGAGCCTCTCCATTATGTGTGAAGCTCTGCCCAGAATTTCTTTTCTGTCTCTTCTGTTAAATTTCTGAGCATATGAAGTATATATGGATCAGAGCTCACCCCATGGGTTTTGGTTAGTACTTTGGTAGATATAACTCAATGTGGAGAAGGGGATGAAAAGAAAGCCACATGGATATTTTTCCCTAAAAGTTTCAGTTTGAAAATGTTTGATCTTTTTTTTTTTTCTTTTTTGAGAAAATTTGAAGAAAATTCAATTTTTCTCAGCCAATAAATCCAGAATTGAGTATTTTGTGGTTGTATGACTCACTCAAATCATTTCACACCATTAGATGCCTCTTGGGAAAATCGGAGCTTTCTATTATCCTTCCAGTAGAAAGTAGAGAAATGACAACATTATTCACAAGGAAATTCCAGGGAATACTTCTGTTTCTAAGTCCTCACCTGTCCCCATGAGGCCCCTGGTGAAAAGAGTGTCATTATTTGGTTAAATCATATAGTCAGAGTCAATTTCTTTGCCTGTAATATGGGGTACTCATACTTAGGGCAAGAATGATCTTCCCAGTCACCTGGAGGAGTTGAATGAATTTCCCAAGATCACACAGATCATATCTGACAGAGACATAGCTTGAACCCAAGTGTTTTGAGACAAAGTCCAACGCTCTGTCTCAGTTCCATTCAATGAGGCTGCTTACACCTGAAAGAAGCCAGAAGAAATGTGCTATGGAATCTCTTAATTTGAGTGTTCAGTGGAAGGGGATTGGGTGAAAGCAGACCTGACGGGATGACACGCTGCTGAGTTTAGGAGGGGCTTCTGAGCAGACCCCCAAATGGTCCAGAGTTGTGGCTCAAGTCTGGCTGCTTGCTGCTCAGAGACCAAAGACATGAAGTGAGGTGTGGTGAAAGGAAAGCAGTTTTACTAATCAAATGCTAGCAGTTGAGGGATGGCCAGGCTCATGCCTTTAAAAGACCATTCCACCATTTTGGGCGGAGTGAAGGGGTTTAAGAAGGAAAAGGTGTGGGGAACATGCGGGAGTGGTGCACTAGGGTGCAGGTGTAGGTTTGCACGTGTTGTTCCAATGACTGTCTTCAGTAATTGCCCATCTGGAGGTCTGGTTTGAGTCACCCTGACTTTAGCCCGGAGGTGGTGGGCCAAATGTTTGTAACTCCCCTTAAGCAGGATGATTCTACAGCTGGGTCTTTCTCCCGGTTTGTTTCACAATCGGCTTGTGGAGTTTCTAAGCAAGAACAGAATTAGATAAGTGAGTACTGTTCAGGAACATACCTGGTGGAAAAGGGAGAAACAAAGAATTTTAAAGTATATTTCAAGGCTGAAAGCAAGATAGGAAAAAATTGGCTTTTGGGACTACTTGGGATACTTGGTTACAAAGTTACACTTAGAAGACTAAAGAATAGAATCTCCAAATAAAACCAATTAAGAACCAAAGAAGTACCTTAAAAAAATTAATGTCTATTAGGCAAGTAAATCCTCATCTGGGGCTTAATCTGAAAGGGATCATAATGGGTCTGAGCACATGTATTTCTGGGAATAGCCATAGCAGAATTTCTTGTGAGTTTGATGCAGTGGAAACACCTTAAATGTCTAGTAGGAAATTAAAAAATAAAGTATGGCACAGTTACAAAATAAAATATTATATAGTCAATAAAAATGATGATGGGTCATTTGTTCTTAATAATTTCTGGTTCATAGACACATCCCTCCCCCGCTTTTAGAGACAGGATCTTGCTCTGTCACTCATGCTGGAAATATAGTAATGCAAGCATAGCTCACTGAAACCTTGAATTCCTGGGCTCAAGCGATCTTCCCACCTCAGTTTCCCTAGTAGCTAGGACTACAGGTGCGCACCACCACGCCCAGCTAATTAAATATTTTTTTGTCATAGAGATGAGGTCTGGCTATACTAGGCCGGTTTCAAACTTCAGGCCTCAAGTGATCTTCTTGCCTCGTGCTTCCAAAGTTTTGGGATTACAGGCATGAGCCACTGCACCCAGCCACATGGACCCTTTTGGGGCTTCAAGAGCCATAGAGCTTGTCCCCAGAAAAAGCTATGCACATGCACACAAATGTCAACTTACAATTTCAGAAGGTCCTTCAATTTTCCTGAAGTCAGTCCATGGGACACTATGCTAAGAATTCCTATGTAAGATATATTTTTAATGACTCGGACAGGTGTTTGTGACACCATAATTTTTGCACAAAAATATGGTTTACAAAATGGCATGTATGGGATGATAGAATTTGATTAAAAATGTAAATAGCTTTCTATGCAGAAAATGAATCTGAAAGAATATCAAAATGTTAATAGTGTTATCTCTAAGGGTGAGGTTTTAGATGATATTTATTTTCTTCTTAAGCTCTGTTTGTATTTTATAGGTTCTATAATAAATGTGCATTAATTTGTGCAATAATTTTAAATAGTCAATTTAAAAAATCTAAGAAACAGTTGAAAAAAGTTGGCAGTTGTGAAAGTAGGGTGCACAGGACGGCTCAGAGCTGTGAGGACTCAGGAGGAAGCCAGGTGCAGGGCAGGTGTACCCGAGGGCCCTATATGGTACACCTGTTGAGGTAGGTCTAGTGATCTAACTGGTCCTGATCTGAGCTACCATCTACTGCTCCAGTAGGGGAATGCAATCTTGAACAATTACTTAAGCACAATCATGTATCTCTTTCAGGTATGGTCCTTGGGGCCCTGCAGAGCTCTCTCTGGAACATGACATTGAATCCCAGTTATCAGAGTGAGTTAGGAAATAGGAACATATTCAGGTAAAGAAGACAAGGATGGAGTCCCTGCTACACAAAGACCAGTGGAAGGTACTAAGGGCTGGCCAGGGAAGAGATGACTAAAGATGGGCAAGGTCATTGTTTTTGTGTGTTTCAGGACTATCTTGGAGAAGAGGGGATACAGTTGTTGTATAATAATCCAAACCAATATATCTTAGGCACTGCATTTTAGGTTGTGTTCTGAGAGCTGGATAAATAGGTGATGCAGTTCTTCTGCAACAGAGGATTTAAGGAAGCATTCCAATATGATCTAATGTGGGCTATAATGAAGATTTGGAGGAGGAGCTCTAGGAAAACAAAGGGGCAAATGAACTACTCTGCCTGGGGAAGTTGCAGTACATTTTATGGTATAACAGAACTTTTCTAGGTTTAGAAAGGTGACAAAGAATTCTAGGTAGGGCAGAAAGAGCAATGTATACAAAAGTGAGAGGCATGAAAAGGAGGTTACAAAGGGCAGAAGATGAAGAGAAGACTGGAGATTTAGGTGGTCTCCAAAGTGTAAGGAGTCTTGAATTCCATGTTAAAACATTTAGACCTATGCTATGGATATATTCTATAGAAAGTATCCATCCCGTGATGGAACTAGGTCCAGTGATAGAAGATACAGAAATTGCCTTGAGAGAGAATGACTGTCCATCAAATAGAGGCTGGTAAGCCCTTTGTTGGGTATAGACTGAAGAGACAACCACATAACAGGGCATTTGTCTGGACTTTGTGATCTCACCCACCCTCTGGGAAAGGTCCCACCCAGCCTTAGCTTTTCAGGAGGTATTTTTGCATATTTCCCTCTGTGAAAGACAGAGCCTGGAGGTACTATATATTTTTGCTTTCTAAGTTAGAAAACTTTTTAATATCTTAACAGCTTATACCAGAATTCATCTATGAAGTGTATCTAAGTCTGCTTAGACTGTTATCACAGAATATAAAAACTGGTAGCTCATAAACAACAAACAGTGATTTCTCACAGTTTTGGAGGCTAAGAAGCCCAGGATCAAGCTGCTGGAAGATTTGGTGTCTGGTGAGGGCCTGCTTCCTCATTCATGGACTGCTGTCTTCTCACTGCATCCTCACATGGTGGAAGTGGCAAGGGAGTTCACTGGGGTCTCTTTTATAAGGACACTACTCTCTTGCATGAGGGTTCTACCCTAATGACCTAATAATCACCTTCCAAAGGCCCTACATGCAAATACTATCACACTGGAGATTTGGGTTCAACATATGAATTTGGGGAGGGGACACAAACATCCAGCCTATAGTAGAAGGAGTCCTTCTTATTTGGAAAGATCATATGTGAAGCCTCTTTGAGTAGCAGGTAAGACCTCAAAGGGGTTGTCAGGAGTTCAAGCAAAAGAAAAGCTATGGCTAAGCTGTCCAGCCTGAGAATATAAGAGGAGTTAAGTGATATATCTCATCTCTGTATCAATGGGGAATAGGAGAGATCAGTGGTTTATAAGGGGATGAGGGAAGGAGGGACTAGAAAGATGGTCTATGGCTGAGGACTCCACAGGGTAAACATTTCAACAATATGCATGGTTGTGCAGGTTGCCTTTGCTCAACTGGCTGGCTGAGGCAGCTGGCTGGGGTTGAAATTAAACCAGTGCCCTGCTCCCTAATTCATATTTTCTGGGTCTGCATTTGAAGAAAGTGTCTCTATGGCCTAGTGGTGACCCTGAGAAAAGCATCTTATGGAATTACCTTATGATAAGGTGGTTGTTATGGATTGAATGTTTGTGTCCACCTCAAATTCACGTGTTGAAATACTAACTCCCCACGTGATGGTATTTGGTGGTGGGATCTTTGTGGGGTAAAGAAGGTTAGATGAGGTCGTGATGTTGGGGCCCTTATGATGGGATGAGTGCTCTTATAAAATAGGGAGGAAACACAAGATCTCTGTCTCTCTCTGCACATGAAGACACAATCAGAAAGTAGCTGCAAACCAGGAAGAGTGTCCTCATCAGACACCAGCTTTGCTGGTTCCTTGATTTTGGACTTCCCAGCCTCTGTAACTGTAAGAAAATGAATGTTTGCTGTTTATGCCATCCAGTCTCTGGTAATTTGCTATGGCAGCCCAAACTAAGAGAGTGGCCAAAAGAGGATTTCACAAGGGGGATGCCTAATGTCCAATTTGAAGTTGTTGTGATGTAATAATCCTTTCTCTAACTATTAAATAAATCTTCAAGTAAATGCATTACACTGATTAGCTCTTTGTGCAAGATGAGTATATAGATGTGTAGAAATAGAAGAAGAGTGGGGTTTCTTGTCTGGATTACAGCGATGTGGAAAAAACAGCATTTGCAGAATCAGAAACCTAGATTTGGAGACATCAGAATACAAGTCCCCCATTCCCCTATCACCCCTTTTTCTTTCCCAGAATTCTGTGGGCTTTGGTCTTCCATGAAGCATGGAGTTGATCGTTTGAGTCAGTCTTATCTGGATTTTAAAGGGAAGGGAGGCAGCAAGTGACATCAGGATTACATTTTATTGTTTTAGTGCCTCCAGCAAGATGTCATGAATAAGTTTATTTTATGGCTGTGCATCTCTCGCTTAAGTAAGCTAATATTGCATCATGGGTAGTTTACACAAATCATTGTTTTAAGGATGCAGTTCAAAACAACAAATGTATGAGCAAACTGAAATTCTTATCTCTAAGATCCAAAGGATAATAGTTCATTTATGCATCACATCTTCTGGAATGTATTTTTATAGACTCTGTAAATTGGATAAGCTAGCTGAGTGCAATGCATGGCATGGAAGGATAAATAATAAGAAGGTTTAGGTTGAAGACCTAGCTCATGCTAAGCTGCTGTGTGAGTTTAGGTAATTGTAGTCTTCTCTGATGTGTAATTATCCTGTAATATTGGAGTGTTAAATAAAAATGACCTCTAGGATCTGCATTAATTAAGACTAAATTAGTTGTATTAAAGGAAGATGGAAACATCCTTCCTCCTCATGTAGAGGCCTAAATGTAGGCTATAGGTATCTCTACTCCAAGAAATCCTCCAGGGTCCAGGATCCTTTATATTTTTCCTGAAAGCAGGAAAACATAAAAAGCCAAGAAAAATCTCTAATGATGAAATATATAACCTGGAAGCTGCACATAGTACTTCAACTCACATTCCCTCGGCCTGAAGTTTGTCGCATGGGCTCACCCAACCTGCAGGGTAGATTAGGAAATACAGAAGTAGAGTCTATATTCTTAGCTGATATACGTTGCCAGCTAAAAACTGAGGTTCCATTATTCCGAGAGAAGAGGATAATGGGTATTGCAGAACAATTAGAAATCTCTGCCGCAGGTTCCTTCCAGACCTAACAGTTTAAGATTCTGGGTGTTGTCAACAGTTTTGATGACCAGGTATCAAGTTACTCTCCATCTTTAGGGCCCTGTCTGCTGGGTGATGGTTGAGATGCCTTGATCACAGAATTAGCAAGAATTAGTTTAGACCAGTGCTGTCCAATGGGAACATAATATAAGCCACACAGAAATTTAAAAAAAAATTTCTAGTAGCCACAGTAAATAAAGGAAAAAGGAGCAGCTAAAATGAATTTTAATAATTTATTTTATCTAATCATGCAAACACTATTAACAAGTTATTTTACATTTATTTTTTCATACTGAGTCCTTGAAGTTTATTTTGTAGTGTGCATTTACAGCACATCTCAACTTGAACTAGCTGCATTTTCAGTGTTCAATAACTCCACATGTCTAGTGACCACGCTGTAGGACAGTACGTTTGTAGACTGTTGGCTAGAATGATAGCACCATGGTGTACACCATAAGTTTTTTTATTATAAAGGGAATCTGCTAGTTAATTAATTTAGATTTAACTCCATATTATAATATTCATTAATATGAAAGAGAACATCATATTTTCACCTGAGGCTTTCCTATGAATAAGTTAACTATGGACTATTCGCTTTCTGGATCATCAGAAGTCTAACCAAATACAACTAGTCAAGTTGGATAGAAGCTGTTGGAGTCCAGTTCTGCCACTTACCAGCTCTGTCATCAGAAGTAAGCTGCCTAACTCTTCTCAGCCCAATTTTCTTTATCGATGAAAATGTCATGTGTTAAAGTCTTTTTTTATCTGTATTTTTGGAAACTGGACTCAGCAGAAATAACACTGGATAAAGAATAAAGAATTTGGATTTTAGGTTCAACTTTCCCCTGGTTCTGTGAGGCTAACAGTATCTTCTCTTTAGATCTTACTTCTTCCATTTTGAAAGGTGGGGTGGTATGTTAGATGCTTATCAATTCTTCTTCCCTCTTTTCAAATGGAATCACTTGATGTTAAACTAAAAGGTTCACATTTCTAGGATATCATTAGGGAGGTAATTGCTTTCTCAACTTTCAACTACTCCTAATAATTCCATAAAAGGGAGAATGGGTATCTGGAAGGCTGAGGCAGCCATAGTAGCACAATATTTCTAAATTGATACATTTTTTGGAAGAAAGAGTGGGAAGAATCAGGTAGAAAAATCTTTTATGGTAGAGACTGGTCCCTTAGCATAAACATTGAAAAAAAAAGTCCCAACAACTCTCTATAAATTCTGTGGAAATCTATATTGGGGAGTCTTTCTGAAAACTGATTTGGCAACGTATTTCAAATGATCGAAAACGTGTATGTCCTTTCATGTAACAATTTTTTGTCTAAGAGTTTAAGGAAACAACCTGATGTTCACAAAGATGTATTGATACGTGCTCATTGCTCTATGACTGACAACATCAGAAAATCAGAAACACTCTGCCCGCAAAAAATAAGGACTTAGTTAAAAAGTTATGGCACAGGCATATATGAAGATATTATGAAACCATTAAAAGCCATGTTTTCAAAAAATATTTAACGATGTAGGCAAATGCTTTACTACAATGTTGACCATAAAACATCACTAATAATATGATGTAATCAGTCAGATGGTCGGTCCCAGACTTCTTTTTAAGTTGGTCCCTTCCCAGGGGTCCCCTCATCTTTCTAACTTTGCTTTCTTGCCCTCTGGTCCCTGTTTCTCCTTTCCCTCTTCAAATGTCCTCAGAGTGAATCTTCATTTTCTTATAGGTCAGAGTCTCTTACCTTAAGAGTAAAATATCAAAAGACTATTTTGATATTTTAGCCTGGATAATTCCCTGTTGCAGGGGTAGGGGCCTGTCCTGTGCTATGTAAGATGTTGAACAGCACTCCTAACTTGTGAATTAGGTGTCAGAAGCACCTTTTCCCAGTGAAGATAACAAAAAATGTCCCCAGACATTGTCAAATGTTTTGTTGGGGCTCAGTCACTCCTCCATGCTGCTACTGAGTTTGGTGGTGGTTTAAGTTTGCTAATCAGGACTCGGAACCAAGGCCCAATATGACTTTACCATTTGTTCCAGAAAATTCTTGCCCAGGAAGATAAAGCTGTAAACCAGTAAATAACTTCATTGTTAACCTCAGGCATTTCATGAAAACCCATTTATTCTGCCCAGGCCAATTGGATGCTCATCTGGGTAGACATCATCTCTCCTAAGACAATAGATTGCTCAACTGGAAAAACCCTTTTGCTTATCAAACAGCCATTTACTTAGCAAGACTGCCTCCAAGCCTCTAGCCTCTCAGCGTCCACCAACCCTAAGATATCAGATGACAAAGACCTGCCTGCAACACTGGAATCCAGACCCCCAAACCCTGGACCTCCTTTTTCTAAGACATGCTAAAACTTGTTCAAGGCAGTACTCTCCCATATTTGGTCAGTGAAAACTGGCCTTTGCTGATAAACGGTGGTCTATCTGGGGAACTGGCAGTCCTCCAGAGCCTTTCCACCATTTTTTTTTTTTTTGAGACAGAGTCTTGCTCTTGTCGCTCAGGCTGGAGTGCAATGGCATGATCTCGGCTCACTGCAACCTCCGCCTCCCAGGTTCAAGCAATTCTCCTGCCTCAGCCTCCTGAGTAGCTGGGATTACAGGCACCTGCCACCAAGCCCAGCTAATTTTTGTATTTTTAGTAGAGATGGGGTTTTGCCATGTTGGCCAGGCTGGTCTTGAACTTCTGACCCTGTGGTCTGCCCGCTTCCGTCTCCCAAAGTGCTGGGATTGCAGGTGTGAGCCACCGTGCCCAGCCGCCTTTCCACTTTTAAAGAAGGGGACACAATTATAAAGCCCTCAACCCATGATGCCCACAAAAAGACCAGGAAGAAATTTTCAAACAGCCACTTTTCTGCATCTAAGGCCTCATAAGATTCCTAGGCATGGTGTCCCCACACTGCACTCTATAAGTAGAAAGGAAGCCACATGAGGATTTGTGTTCCTCCTGCCCACAGAGTGTGAGTGTGTGGGGAAGAGGGTTGGGACCACAAGCTTCATCAGCGCAGGAAGAAGAAAAGCATAGAAACACCCACGCAAATACACACATACATACATATATAAACATATATATATATATATACACACACACACATATACACACATGCACATAGGGTGGAATTATGGATGATTTCATTTTCATATTTTTCCATATTTAAAATTTTTTCTTAATGAACATGTCTTCTTGTTAATAATTACGGTTATAATCTTAGATGAAATAATATGTTAATATAATCCTATCTTGGAATACATTGGGAGGTCCAGTACATTGGCTTTGAGGAAGTGCCAAAGAGGTGGAAGGCTGAGTCCTTGGTGTCTTCGTTTTTTTCTATACGGTTCAGGAGACCAGTAGCAAAAGCCGCTGCAGAGTTGGGAGTACATCATTTGTACCAAGTGTTAATTTGAAGTGTGAATGGAAAAGATTATAATTACCTGTCTTTTTAAACTTATGTTTTATTTAAGAATCTCATGGTTACTAAGAAATACACTCAGCAGTGAGATGGGATGGGTAAGCTAAGGTGTGTATGATAGGAAATGATGTCCGGGCAGTAAAATTAGTTGTGCTGTTGTGTGCTCATGGGCATCGATGGATGTCTAAGCTGAGTATGTCCTTGACACAATAGGTCAGTCTAGTGATGAACCCTCTGGGTTTCACCTTGACACTACCACATGCTAATTTTGTGACCATGAGCAAAATGCATTACCTTTTCACTGCAGTTTCTTCACCTGCAAAGGTAAGAGACTTGTACCTGCCCAGTGAACCCCATGAGTTTGTTACAAAGACCAAAAGAGATGATCCATATACACATGCTTAGGAAGTAGTTCAAATGCATGGCATTACGGGAATGCCTCTCAATTTTTCAAGCACCTCTCTGATATTAACATAGATTGTGACAAACAGCCCACGTCCAATTTAAATGCTGGGGCTGTTTAACTCTGTGGAGTGCTTGAGGCAGAGGTGTAGGTATTTGGGGATCTCCACATTATCTTGGGGCACCCTGCCCTGGCATGGCACCAGGGACCTGGCTAGAGGCCCCTACCTTGGAGCCTGGTTCCTCCAGGGCTGAGTGCAATACTTAGGAGGAATGTTTAGGAATGCCTGCCATAGCTGCCCACCATCCCTCATTAACATTTCGTGCCTAGTGTGTAAACCTCAAATTGAATTTTCCTGGGTGGAGTCAAGGAATTAAAGGAATGAGGAGGAGCAGATAGACAGATAAGCACATCTCCTGCTTCCATCCATTACTTATTTATTGTGTGCACACCATTTTCTAGTAAATGTTATTTCATTTACTAATGCTCAGAGCAACACAAATGTAAAGTCTACGTGATTGTAGCCATTTACAAGCTCCATGAACGTGACCTAGGTCACAGAGCTCATCAACGGCAGAGCAAGAACTCACACCCAATTGCGTAAATTCCATTCTGGCTTACCCTATCTGACATTTGGGATTTGTATATTAGCCACAGCGGAGTAGCACAACATTAGTACTAGATTTTCTACTCTACTTTATTCTTCTTATCAACTACAGGTGGCCAGAGAGCAGAGGGCAAAGGAGGCAAGAAGAAATGAGAATGTTAATATTTAGTGGTCTTATTTGTTCCCCCCGAGCAGAGTAAATTTATGCTTGATTATGCAAAGTGCTTAACTATACAAAACATCATGGAAGTGAGTGACATTAATATCAATTACTTCCCAGGATTAATGCTTTCTGTTGGTTTTCTCTGCAACTATCCACATTTTGGTTTCCCAGAATGTCATAAAACAATAAAACAATATTAACTTAAGAATACATGCATACCATTTCACAAAAGTAAGCAACCATTCCCTGTACTCCTTAAATAAATTGGTCCATCTCTGGGTATACCCCCTTGCTTTGTGTACCCCTGGTCTCCCGAAGTGACAGCTCTAATGCAATAATACATGATTCTGTCTTGGGCTCCCCTTGCCCCACTGCAAGTATCACCTACATTTATGTAACTCTAGGGGACCACAGAAGTGTTTTTTTCTAGGTGATTTCTTTTTTTAAAAATCTATCTAAATAGAAGAATGGCTAACTTATATTTTAAATTCATCTCAACAGATAACCTGTTTGATGTCTTGACAAGCACCCTGCTATGAGTATATTATATGTCATCATGGAGAAAAAAAGAAAAAAAGGTTGGGGTTTGAAGCCAGAGCAACTTGGACTTTGAAGTCTGGGTTGTAGTCATCACTTGTGACCAGATCATTGTTCTCTCAGACAAGGATGTGTCTCTCCTTGCCTCCTATTTGATCTTTACTTACCTAACCTCCATCCTGCAGCCAGAGTGATTTGTCTAAATAATCCCTTTGTGTAACAGGCTTTAAAGTATTCCCCTTTTGTATATTCCAAGTTTTCTGGATTTGTCACAGGTGAGAAATGACTATTTGGGCTGGTGGCATGGGGGTGAAATAATTTACCAAGACAGCTGTAGATGAAGAAAGGCAGATTTATTAAAGAAAGTATGAAAATAAGTTGCGAGTTTGCAACAGGCAGCCGGTAAGAGAGGAGCTGACTGCAAGAAAACAAAGGCTTGCTGGGGATTTTATAAAATGGTGTTCATGCTGTATGCTGAAGAGGGCTTTGTGCAGTACTGATAACACCAAGGTTGCAGTGAGCTAACTCGCAGGTGTCTGGTGATAAGTTAGGCGCAGGAGGGCTATACGTGCTGGACCATGGAGAGAGGCAGAGACTTATAGCTGATCTACTTTCTTCTTTGTTCTTTCCCCTGGCCCCACCAGCCTGATTTCCTTTCCCTCACTAGGACTCCACAGTATTGACCATGCATTTCTTTTACATTTATAAAAGGGTTAAGCATGGGAATGGGTAAGTAAAATGTGAGGGTACACCTTACAGCAGTTAAGATGAATGAAGTACATCTCTATATGCAGTAGTGAAGGTAAATCTCCAAATCATTGCAAGGACTGAGAAGAGCATGTTGCAGGTGGGTTACTAATATTCAATTTATGTTCAGTTTTGGGCATACAACAGAGTAAAATAAGACTCCAGGTTTAAAAGGTCCAGTAGATAGTATTCCCTTTACTTGCCAGAGTTCAAAAGTGTCTCACTCTGGGGGCCTCTGGTCTAACTCTCTGTGTACCCTCTTAAAAGACCCTTAATGTGGATTGAGGTGGAAAAAAGGCATCCTCTGCTATGATGGGATGAGGATGAGGAAAAGCAAAGCACCCCAGAAAATTCTTTCTTTTAAAAGACAAAGCCAGGCCGGATGTGCTGGCTCACGCCTATAATTCCAGCACTTTGGGAAGCTGAGGTGGGTGGATCACTTGAGGTCAGGAGTTCAATACCAGCCTGGCCAACATGGCAAAACCCAGTCTCTACTGAAAATACAAAAATTAGCCAGGCATGGTGGCAGGCACCTGTAGTCCCAGCTCCTTGGAGGCTGAGGCAAGGGAATTGTTTGAACCCGGGAGGTGGAGGTTGCGGTGAGCCGAGATCACACCACTGCACTCCAGCCTGGGCAACAGAGGGAGACTCTGTCTCTAAATAAATAAATAAATAAATAAATAGAGAAAGCCAAGCATACATAGGCACAGTGGTAGACTTAGATGTCATCCATCTTGCCATGTGTTTGTCTCTGCATCTCAGGTCTCTTATCTCTTTATTCTTTGGAAGAATTAATTGTAAGCCATTTCATAAAGCTTGTAGATGGGTGATGGGGTTATGTTGGCCACTCACACTCATGTCTACCACAGGACTTCTGTGCTTCAGAATATGCAGTATTTGATAGGTACTGCTTTGTAAGTGGTCTTTAGGAGTTTTTTGGTACAAACTCCCAGATGGTAGGAGATGTGAACATGGTTTTACACTTCATTAAGCTCCCAGGTAGGAAATGATCAGGCCCCACTATCGTTCATGTGGAGCATGGGTCTTTGGTGCTCAGCCCTGCACTGGGCACTCGGACATTCACAAAGCCAGGCTTCCAGCTTTGCAGTTTTCATCAATGGTTTAAATTACCTTCCTAGTCAGCTCTCTGCAACTGTCCCCTACAAACAAGCTAAGCCTCAGCCACAGGGTGACTCACCAGGATTACACCATGTACTTTCTGACTTTGAGGCCTCTGCTGCCCATGTCCCTCTGCTTGTGGTGACCTTTCTTCCACCAGTGAACACATATTTACCCGGAAGGACAGGACATCTTTCCTGATTCCCATTGCACCCCTCCCACCTTGACCATCAAATCCTTCCTCTGTGTACTGCTAACCCTTTTCCAAGGATGCCAGGTATTGGATGGAGCTGGGTGCATGTCTGACTCTCCCAGTAGACTGGGAGTTCAGTGAGGGCAGAGGCCTTGGCTTTTTTCATTTACGTACTTTCTGAGATGCAGTGACTGTCACATGCTGGAAGGGATGACACTTGAGTCCGCCATTGTGCCGTGAGCAT